GGACTGCCACTGTTACAAGTCAGGTAGTCCCCCTGCTGAAAAGAAAAGCAATCCAACGGGATCCCTGTGATTACAAGGGGCACACACACAAGACAACACAACTACGTAACCTGTGGCAGGCGTAGCCCTTTGGACTTGTCAGAAGTGTTTGATGTACGCCCGGGGGACAGATGGTCGCCGCCACCATGTGGTCAAATTCCGTCAGTGGTGTCGCTGTGCCATGCAGTTTTGCGCCGCCTCGGTGAGAAGTGTGTTCGTGTGCAAAGCGATGGATTTGCTGATTTGATTTTTGAAAATCAACGAGCCAGGTAGCGCACTTCAAACAAACGAACATGTACCAGATTCTAATATTGATAGCGTTGCCGGTTTACTTGCTTGGCACCATGGCGCCACTGACATCACTCCCTGAGATGGGCGCCTCCCTTCTGGAAGGAGGCAATCCGCGCAGCGTACGCGCGGCCAAAGTGGATGCGCATGAGAGCTTGCCATTGGGCTTGCCCTTAGGCAAATGGCTGGCGCTCATGATGGGCTTGGGCCGTGTTACAATGCACACACACACAAGTCCAATGTAGTGGCCGCAAGAGAGTTGCAGCTGGTTGCTCGCATGCCGAAAGCTGACCATGTAGTGGTTGCGGGGTCAAAAGGTTAGGTAAGAATGCGGCGCAACCAAATGAACACTGTACGGGTGGGCTATTGAGCAGATTGCGCAAAGACATTGTGCCTGAATGCGCGCATGGCGTGCAAGTGCAAAAACTTTGTGGCTCAGGGTCTACGAAATGCCAATCTGGTCCCGGGCGCAATCTGTATTTGCACTTCATTCCTCCTTGTCAAGACCCAGTGGGCACCGCGTCGTTCCTCGGGATTTCACCCCGTCAGCTCAACTCCCTGGTGCGCGTTTTCCCTTCAAGGTGTCGTAGCTCAACCTACTAGCAATGTCCTCCTACTTAGTAGACGTGGCCTCCAACCTAATAGCGATGGCCTCCATCCTACTAGCGAGTTTGTCCACTTCATCCCTCTAGTTCACACGACTCACATTTGCCCACTTCATCCCACTTCTTTCTCACGAAGTTGGTCTGCCGCTGCTGGTCTGCTGCTCCGCCGGTGGTGTGATGTGCTGTTAATTCGCTGCTGAGCCGACAACAACAACATACTAGTAGCGTCCTTTGCTCCTACAACCAGCAAAACACTTTCGGAAGACCTTCGGATTTTGATTGGACCTTCCGGCGCCCAAGCCGAGAAACAAGACACTGAATTGCCAGCCGAAAACTGCGAGAATTTCCGATCTTGCCTTCTTTTGATTCTTTTGAGGTGCATATTCACGGTGATGAGCTCGTCCAAAACGGGCGAGCACTGAGCCGTTCTTAAGCATGTGACGCCTAAGGCCTGACAAAAGTTCAGAGCCTGTTTGCAAAGACAAGGGAAACATGGAGAAACTACTGGCGATGGCCTCCCTAAGCATGGAGAAGCTGGAGAGTTCTTAGTGTGAAGGATATAGTATTTGCATAGTCACATGTGCACGTTTGGAAAAGTCAATGAATGGCCGGGCCCTAGCCTTGTTGCTTGTGCAAAGCAAGGTGCACACTTTTCCCATTTGCGCTCGTAATTATTGACGGTAAAGGTTTTGCAGGCGGAATCTGTTGGAATTCTCAAGAATCCTATTTGTAGCTTCTTGTTCCTAGCAGCGAACATTGCTCCTAGTAGTACGGCCAGGAGCCCCTAGTAGCGTCCTTGCTCCTAGTAGCCATGCCAGGAGCCCCTAGTAGCGAACATTGTTCCTAATAGCCCAAGATGTTCGACGTAAGAATCACGGCCCACTATGAGCCGGCCTTGAGCCTGAGCGTCCCAGGAACCACGAAAATACCCAAGCGGGTTGACAAAACCAAGGGGGTTCAAAGAATCCATTTCGAGCGTATTCAACACCTGTTTTTTTTGCAGTCCCTAGAAGCGGTGGCCTCCAACGCCTTTTTTTTTAACCCTTGGTGTATAGCCCCTATAACAAAACTGTTTCATGAAGCCCCGCCCTGTTCAATTCAATGCAAGTGTCACCCGCCTGGAACAATTTACTGCACGCACCGACAAGAACAAAACAACAACTCTCCAACCTAGTAGCGATGGCCTCCAACCTAATAGAACCTACTTGCATTCTGCAACCCTGCGATGTCCGAGATGGAATTGCGCAACACGGAGGACAGTAAACGGTTTTGGGGCAAATTTTGTCACAAGCCATTTGCTTGTTGTCAAATCCGAAGCAACATCCATGGAGAGAGTGGGCGTCCTGCCAACTGCCAACAGTGTGTGAAATTGAAAGATCGTTATTGAACCTTGGGGCGATCATGCTCTCAAACTACTTTTTGCGGGGCTGAGATCCAAACCATCCCCAACCGCAATCCCAAATGAAAAGAATGGGACTGCAACCATGAATGACTTGAATTGCAGTTGAGTCTGGCCTGGCAGGACACGGAGGCGATGCTACGGCAACAAGCAAAGAAATTGGGTTTACAACTCTCCAGAGGCGATTCGTTCGATCAAAGAGCAATGGCAATTTTTTCATAGCCAAGGTTGAGGCAGGTACGGACTCTTGCTGAAAGTTGACGGTAGCCTGTCAGAAATCATGAGTAGTTCACGCATGTTCACGCGTCCCTCTCCATGTCATGCCACCAAAACGGATTTTGTTGCAACAGTTTACGCTAACTCGTCCAACCAGGAGACTTCTTTCATGCTACTAGGAACAAGAAGCTACGGTGCTATTTGCATTGTGGTCCTCATTTGAGTATGATATTTAGGAACCAGGGCCAGTTAGGACGTAGAACAGTCGAAGTTTTACATGCAAATATAACCACGTGTCGTACCGACACATTTTGGCTCAAGAAACAGGCTCGTCCGCGTTTGTTTCAGCTGTCGCGCACGTCGGTCGCTTCGTCCGCCGCGCCACTGCACTTCGCGCATTCGTTGCTTTCGGGTTGTGTTTGGTTTCGGGTCGGTTGCCGTAGGTGCTCCCTCCTTAGGCCACACATCCCTTTGACACCACGGGGACCAAGCTGTCAGGGGTCCCTCGTCGTGTCCCGGGTTTCCTCAGGGTTCTCCGTACAATAGGGTACCTTTCCTCCAACTTGCCCCTTCGGCAACTTTGGTGGTTGTTCCCTGTGGATATCCCTGAACCCTTGTCACCTTCATTAGAACCATGAAAAAAAGTTGCATTTCAGATTTTGTTTAACCTTTTTTGTATGTTTAATGTTTTTTGGTTTCTTAACCTCTACCTGGAAGGAGGGGATACAATACTAGGGGCCCCTGGCCTTACCACTAGTACCAAGAAGCTTCCTTGGGAATCGTTTCACCTGTAGTAACA